AGCACCGGGTGATGTATGGAAGTGTTGAATCACCATATTGTACACCTGAAACTAATATTACACTGTATGTGAACTGGAATTTAAATAAAAACTTAAAAAAAAAAAAGAAATCGACATTGGTATAACCCTATTAACTGCACTTTATTGGGATTTCACCATTTTCCCACCATTGTCCTTTGTTCTGTCCTGGGTTCTGATCCAGGATCCCACAATGCCATGCCTCTTTAAGGCTCCAAACTGTGATGCTTCAGTTTTCTTGTCTTTCATGACTGTGGCAATTTTGACGACGACACTGGCCAGGGATTTTTTTGAGTGTCCCTCTATTTGAGATGATCTGATATTTTCTCACGTTTAGAGTAAGGTTATGCATTGTTGCCCTTCTGACTGTGCAGTACCAGGGGGAACATGGTGTCAGTATGTCCTCTTAATGGTGATGTTTACCTTGATCCTTGGTTAAGGTGGTTTCTGCCAGGTTTCTTCTCTATTAAGTTACTATTTTCCTCTTAGTAATTAAATATATATGTATTTTGGAGGCAATACTTAGAGACTGTGCAAATACTCTGTTTCTCCTTAAAATTTTGCCCCCTAGTTTTATAGCATCCTCCGGGTTGTGCCTACAATAATGATGTTCCAGTGGTGAGTTTCTGTTTTCTTCATTCCTTTTACTTTTGGTAATTGGAATCCTGTAAGGAAGAGTTGTGTCTTCTCTCCCATTTATTTATTTATATCAGTATGGACTCCAGGTTATATATATACATATAGATATAGATATATAGATATGTATACACATATACTTTGAGTTAAAATCCAAATATATATATATACACTTTGTTTGAGTTAAAATCCAAACTGTCATTATTTTGTTGCTCAGATCATTCCAGCTTTGCCCATTGGGAGGTTCTTTGATTGATTGCATGTATACTAACCCATGCATGCACATGCATGCACGCACACACACACATCTATTTATTTCTGCATCTGTGAATTCATCCTGAAACCTCACGTCAATCCACACTGTAGGGTCATTACTATAGTCAATACCTTTTTCTTATTTGTAGCTTATTTCTGTGACAGTGAGAAGCCTGGCTCTCATGATCTACAGTACATTTTCTCGGTTTCCCATAACCCTGTGACAGAAAAACAATTTAGCAGCTGGATAACAGTGTTTGTGTAAGATGCTTTTAATCTATAGCTTTAGAGAGTTCAGTCAGAACACTCTTTCCCAAAATTACTTAGGTCATCCCTCTCCTCCCACCCTCCTCTGTGTGGTTACGCTTACACTCACCCATCACGGTCTGCCTTCCTTCCCAGGTTCTCCCCGCATCCTGGGGGATGGTGTCTGTAATGTTATGGGCAGTAAAACTGACTCTGTGGTTTCCAGTTCTAAGAGTTATGACGAGTCCAGAGAGTTGCTTACCAACACAGTTTCCTACACAACACTTCCATCACCCCCTAAAATTCCCTCGTCCTGCTTCTCTGTGGCCTTGTGAGATGTATGTGTATGTTTACCCTTACAAACTGTCAAGCGATTTTCCAAACTGCCTGGATTGTCAGGTCTGTGTGTGTGTGTTATCTTTTGTAGCCATTCTGATAGGCATGTTGTGATGTCTCATTGTAGTTTTTATTTGAATTTCCCTAATGACTAATGATATTACTTTTTGCGTGCTTATTTGCCATCTCTTGTGGGTTGAATTATGTCCCCCCTTCAAAAAGCTTCTAACTCCCAGAATATGACCTTATTTGGAAATAGGGCCTTTGCAGATAATCCAGTTAGGATGGGATCCCTAGGGTAGCTGACATTAGGGAAAGTCCCAGGTCTGTGAACTCCAGGATGGCTGGCATGCATATAAAAGGGAGATTTGGACACAGATGCTTGTACACAGGGGGCATCCCATGTGAAGGCAAAGGCAGAAATGTATGAGCCGGGCAACAGGAGATTGCTGGCAAAACTCCAGAAGCTGGAAGAGAGGAAGAGAGCAGGTTCTCCCTCCCAGCCCTCAGAAGGAGCCGACTTTGCCGACACCTTGATCTCAGACTTCCAGCCTCCAGAGCCGTGAGAGCGTACTGTCTGTTGTCTAAGCCCCCCAGCCTGGGGTACTTTGTCATTGGAACCTTAGCAAACTGATACACCATCTATAGATATATTCTTTGGTGAAGTACCTGGTTAGATTTTTACCCACTTTTTTCCTGTTCTTGAGTTTTAAATATTCTTTAAATATTCCAGATACACATCCTTTGAAGTCTATTTTGTAGATGAAGAAACGGGTTCTGAGAGGGAAAATAATCTGTGCAAGGTCACATATGCTTGTCTTAGAAGATGTCGTCCCCACTGCTCTTCTACACTCAGCATCTTTTCTTCCCTCCCTCTCCCTTCCCTCCTTCCTTTTCTTCCTTCCCTCCCTCCTTCCTTCCTTTTCTTCCTTCCTTCCATCCTTCCTTCCTTCCTTCCCTCCCTCCTTCCTTCCTTTTCTCCCTCCTTCCTTCCTTCTTTTCTCCTTCCTTCCTTCCTTCTCTCCTTCCTTCTGTCCTTCCTTCCTTTTGCCATCAGCCAGGTTCATCGTCAGTTATCACTGCTGAGGGCACTTCCTATCCGTGATTTAATCATGGACTCAGCATCTTTAAATGCTTGCTGGGAGTAAGCCTCCGCCAGCCCCCTGTCCTTGTGAACTGTGATAGTTCCGTAAAGGCTGCAATAAAGGAGCATCGCTAGGGATGTTGGAAGTGGTGGCGACTGGCCTGCCCCCACCCCGAGAGAGCAGCTATCAAACTGCGTGCTGTGTTCCTGGGTAGCTTGGGGAGGGGGGACACAGGGTGAAAATCTGCACATCCCCATAAAACAGCCTTGAGTGGGGAGGGAAAACAGCTGCAGCCTTAAGAGAAGGAAAGATTCCTCATGTTCTGTTGGCCACGGTGACGCTTTCAGAAGCGTATTATCTATCAGCCCTCTTTATAAACAGCCTTCTTGAGGTTTGCTAATTTAGGATTACAAGGTTCGCCTCCCCCTCCCGGAGGGCTGGGCAGGCGGCTCCTCTAGCCTTTGTATTAGGAGCCTCCCTTCAGGCAGCGCCTTAGGTAGTGGTTTCATACAAAATAGAGTCTGTAAATCTGATGAACGAAGCTGGGGCACGGGGTTCCCAACCTCTGACGGGTGAACGCGCCCCTCCTCTCTTCCTGCCCTCCAGTTTTTGTTAACCGTCTTCTTAGAACGGTTTTAGGTTCACATCGAAATGGACTTGCAGGTACGGAGCTGCCCTGTGCCCTCTGCCTCCCCACACGCGCAGGCCCCCAACCGGGCGCAGCCCCCCCAACCATGCGCAGCTCCCCCAACCGGACGCAGCGCCCCCCACCATGTGCAGCCCCCCCAACCGGGCGCAGCGCCCCCCACCATGCAGCCCCCCAACCATGCGCAGCCCCCCCAACCGGGCGCAGCGCCCCAATCATGCGCAGCCCCCCCAACCGGGCGCAGCCCCCCAACCATGCGCAGCCCCCCCCAACCGGGCGCAGCGCCCCCACCATGCGCAGCCCCCCCAACCGGGCGCAGCGCCCCCACCATGCGCAGCCCCCCCCAACCGGGCGCAGCGCCCCCACCATGCGCAGCCCCCCCAACCGGGCGCAGCGCCCCCACCATGCAGCCCCCCAACCGGGCGCAGCCCCCCAACCATGCGCAGCCCCCCCAACCGGGCGCAGCGCCCCCCACCATGCGCAGCCCCCCCAACCGGGCGCAGCCCCCCAACCATGCGCAGCCCCCCCCAACCGGGCGCAGCCCCCCAACCATGCGCAGCCCCCCCAACCGGGCGCAGCCCCCCAACCATGCGCAGCCCCCCAACCATGTGCAGCCCCCCCAACCGGGCGCAGCGCCCCCCACCATGCGCAGCCCCCCAACCGGGCGCAGCGCCCCCACCATGCGCAGCCCCCCCTCCCACGCACTGGGCGCAGCCCCCACCGGAGCGGCAAGTCTGTTACAATCCTTGAATCCACGCCCGGCACAGCCCAATCATCCAAAGTCCCTAGTTTGCCTCGGGGTTCACTCTTAGCATTGCCCTTGCAGTTTTTATAAACCACAAAGCCTTTCTTTCTCGTTTCTGAGTCTGTGGGGCTTATTTTCTATGACAAGGATATGCAGGGAGACAGGTGGACATGGGATGGGGCGGGGGGGGGGGGGCGGGGGTTGGGGGGGGCGGGGGGATTTCCTACTGTCTTTTCTCTCTGAATTATCCTCCTTTCTTCATCAGATTCAGCCCAGTTTGGCTTAGTGAAAATTCCTTCTAGAATCTGGCAGGTTAAAACAGTACTGATTTCCAGTACGGGGGGGGGGGGGGGGGGGGGGGGGGGGGTATGTGTGTGTGTGTTCCTGCACAGTACATATTCCAAGGAGACCTGAAAAGGCCATGGATCGGGGTGCTGGCTTTCCACCACCACATCTGGAACTCTCTAAGTCTTGCCCAGAGCTACAGATCCTCTCTACCTGTGTTCATGTTGTTCCCACCTCCCTGCTTTCCTTGATCTGGCAAGTGCCTACTTACCACTCAAGATTCAGCTCAGCGGTCCTCTCCTTAAGGAAGCTTTTCCTGAACTCCCAGGCTAAGTGGGCCATGTACACCCTGTTCCAGTCTCTTAGTCACACCTGTTATATTGAGTGTTAGATTATAGGGACACACCATTATTCATCTTTGTGTCTTCAGCTCAAGTCACATTGCCTCAGGAAACCCCAGGATACATCTTACTATGGGTAACCTTTGTCTAGGGAGGAGACCACCCCCATCAGATTGCAGAGGGATTTGAATGTCCAGCCTCAGAAAATGGGCCAGGTTGAGAGCGTTACCATACTCCCCACTGTTTCATTTTGAGTATACAATAATGTTTTCTATCGAAAATGTAAGAGTATCTAGTTATATACAGGTTAACCTAGATAAGACTTTAGTTAAAAAGCTCCCTTTTCCAGAGAAAATTTGGTACAGAAATTATTTCATGAAAATTCATTCATTTTATCGATGCTTTATTAATGTTGCGTGGATATAAAATTCTACAGATCATAATTTTCACTAATAAATACAAATGTAAATAAAAACAAGCTGCTTTCAAATATTAAAAATGTTTTAGCCAAATGTTGGTGGGCTTATTCTCAATTAAGCATATTGTTTGAAACAACTCTAAAGCTACAAAAGATCAGAATTTGTGCTAAAATAAACCTTACTCCCCCATAATGCAATCATTTATCAAAGGAGAAGAAACAATAGGAGTTTGATTCATTGGGACATTTTCAGCATTTATTTAAATGCAACATGTTCTTCCTACTTCACTTACTGGCATCCATCTTCCCGCCCCTTCTTAGCACTAAGCTCACACTAGAAAAGAAGGACACAATTATGCCCCCCAGGAGCCCGCCCCTGCTTCTGAACCCTGACTCCGGGCATGGCCATTAGGTGCATCCTTACCCAGGGTTACCCTGAAGATTCTTCAGAGGTGTCGGTCATTCCTCAAACTACTCTAACAATACCCTTTTCCTTCCTTTAAGTACTGTCTTTCCAACCATGTTCTTCTCCGAATCCAAGCTCTCCATTCTCTGTAACGAGCTCGCAGGTGCTCGTGGCTGTGGAGGACAAGACCCTTCTCAGGAATCGAACTACTACTCATAAGCTCAAAGCAAAATCGGTCATTTTACAATTCTTGCCTGAGGCCAGAAAGTGAGTTTTGAGTAGGTTAATTATCCTAATTTGAAAAAGGAGAAAACAGGTACAAAATGAGATTAAGGGACTTATTAAGAATCCCTGACATTTGTTTAGCACTTTTGTTTTCAGGTTACAATGAATCATATGATCTGATGCTCACAACAGAATATTTGTGAACTAAGCAGAGCAGATGTCCTTTTACAAATGAAGACACTGGGGCTCAAAGACGCAAGTCGTTGGCCTAGGGTGATGTCATTGGAACCCAAACTCAGAGCCTTGATTCCCAGCCCACAGAGCCTTTGCTTGTCACACCATAGTTCCTCTTGTGAACGTGAACGTGGCGAGGAGCAGCGCGACTGCCCTCAGCACCACCAACCACAGTGCACTGCGTAGATGCTCTGAAGTCTGAGGAAGTGAAGACCATTGTCTTGGATGAGGAATCCATGCACCATTTTCAGACGCATGCTAGACAGTCCTAATGCGCTTGATACATGACAACCTGTAGGTAAGTAACTGTGGAGTTGCCATAATTAAAAACAGAAGTATAAATGATAATAGATTGGAGAGAAGCAACCAAACAGTAGGTTGGGAATCAAAGTAGTTCAGATGGGAATGTCCATGATTCAACGTTCAGAACAGCATCTTAAAGAACAATCTTGGTAAAGGATCAATACAAAATGGATTTTAAGGTCCTTATTCCTATAATTAATTTTCCAAATTAATTTTTTAAATTTAAAAATGATTTGTTTTAGCTCTCCCATAAATTATTTTGATTATAAAAAATTGGCTTTGGGGCGCCTGGGTGGCCCAGTCGGTCAAGCATCCAATTCTCGATTTCAACTCAGGTCATGATCTCAGGATTGTGAGATCAAGCCCCACATCAGGCTCTGTGCTGGACTTGGAACCTGTTTAAGAGTCTCTCTCTCCCTTTTCCCCTCCCCCCCCCAAAAAAACCTGGCTTTGCCCTTAGAAAGCCAATATCTGTTAGCTTCATTTTAAACATGATTTGATGATTAGAAGGCCTCCACTGCGGGCGTGACCTTGCGGAAGAATTTATGACCTCGAGAATTTGTACTTTCAAAGATATACCCTGGAGGAGAAGGATAGCTAGCAGGGCAGATTTCCTGTTTCTTTGGTGTGTACTCTGTAGAGTACATGGTTGTGTCATTGAATGGAGCAGAACTCTTAAACAGAGCATGTGCTGGTTTGCAGCTCTCCGTCGGAATCAGCTCATGTGGCACGTAGTGAGACCTGAAAGTGCTCCAACCATCAAATTTTCCAGATGGGTTGGGAATCTGCTGCTGCTGCTTAATAAGACCTTGACGACAGCATTCCCAGGCTGGAAAATCTTCCTTTGTGGTGCTTTTTCCTTGAAAAGGAAAATTGTTATTTCTTCTTTGAGCAACTGGCCTGATGGGACTGACACGTTTGGTCTGATAGGGAACATAGTCGAGATGGCTTGTGCTGTTCAACTGCATGGTACCTGTAGGCGGGACATATTCTTGTGGTTTCTTGACTTCGGGTGGTGCGATTTCCCAAGGTTGAAAGCTTTCACGGAATTCCGTGCTTCCTTCAAAATGAGCATTTTGGGTCACTCTGGTGTATGGAGGTCTGCAGATTTTTGCAGTTTCGCCAACAAGACCCTGAAAGTCGTATCGGTGAGTTGTGAGATCCTCAAAGGGTTGGTTGGTTGGCTTGTACACTTCTTTTGGCCTTGCAAACTTGAGTTCTAGCTGATAAGGTACATAATCAAGGCGATGACTTGTCTCACCATTAAAAGGGACTGTAGAACGTTTGACCACAGGGCTGGGTTTAAAGTTTTGCCTAGGCTTTATCTCCTGAGGAACATAGTCATCCTGAAATGTAGTTGAATTTCCAAATTTCACAGTGGGGGGATGATAAGTTTGTTCAGGCTTATAAAGGTCAATTTTCTGAATGTCCCAAGCTCTATAATCATCTTGAAAATAAAAAGAGAGCATTTAAAATACTGAAGAAAACAACCTTCTTCTAAAAATCATGACTTACTTCTCTCATTGCCAAACATCCTCCCATTTCCTTCAGAAATCTGAACATTAATCAAGTCTGAATTTGCTCAGCTTCCCCTGATTTGTGTTTTCTTCATATCCACCTTCCTCTTCCTATTTCCCCACTTTAGTACATATAACTTTGTACTTCTAGATTTACCTGAATACACAACAAGGGAATGGAACATCTGAGCTTGGATTGTTGATAGTTTTTGAAAGCCTGTGTTTTGGGTAAAGACCAAGCTTAGGAGATTATGGTTGTGTTTTCCAAGAACTGGTTGGGATTTTCACCATAACTCATGAAATGCTAAAGTAAACCATAAAATCTAGGGATTAACATAAAATCAAAGGCCCTGATGTGTGGGCAAAGTGATGCGGGTTATTATTCTTTGCCTTGGAGGGACTCCTCAAAGGAGAGAGAATTTCAACTCCATTATACTGTTCGAAAGCCTGTTGGACTCCCTGAGCAAACATACAGAATAACTTGTACTATCCCAGAAAGATCATTGCCTTCAACTTTAGCTTCTCAGAAAACGGACTTCAGGGTATCACTAAAAGACAGAGGGCCATCTAGAGGCCAGAGGCCTGAACTGAGTGCTTTCAAACATACCAGAAATTGTATGTAGAATTTAGAAGGGAACATCAGAGCTGAGTCTGAGATTTAGGGTTGAATACCTTAATTCTGCTTCTTGTGGCATACCTAGACTGTGGATGGAAAACTGAAGTACTTATATTTCAACCAAGGGTTATTTAGTTTTTCTATTTCTAGATGAGAAAGGTAGAAAGCTAAGAAATACTGTGGAATTGACTTCACCCAAAAAGATGTATACCAAAGATTTATACAAGACAGAAGTTATGCAAGATAATGTATTAGAGTCTAGACTAAAGTCCATGTAATGTCTATTGGAAAGGCCAAAACTCAAATGCTTTTTACGTGGATACCTCCTTTGGAGAGAACAATTCCTCATTCACAGACATTTCTGCCCCAATGGCCAAGTTGTGGACCAAATGGTTACCTCTACCTCATCAAGCTACTGATGTTTGGATGAGAGTGGATGCCTGGCCCAAGAGCAGACAATCTTTAGGTCAGTAGAGGCAGACGAAACAGCCTGGCAAGAAGAGATGAGCTGGGTAAGCCATTCTTGTTCTTGTGAACCCAAATTTGAAAATACGGAGCCAGATAAAAGTAGGAGATGAACCTAAGAGGATGCCATGAAGTGGAATTGGAGAGTAAGGTGAAGACTTCAAAAATGCACCTGTAGGGTAAAAGAAGCGATATAAATAGGCAGAGGAGCCCAGGTAGTGGAGTAGCAATCAGACTAGATGCTGTAATAGAAACCATGGGGCTCTTGCGGGGGGGGGGGGGGCGGGTGGGGACAGTAGCTCTTCCCTCAAGCTTCCTCTGACCCTGACAGCTTCCCACTACCAGTATAGAGGAAGCCTTTACCACGAACTCTCTTTGCTTGAGGCGCCATGAAGGAACCTCTGTTATTCGCAACCTGAAGTATAAAATTATAACACTATTTCCAGAAACTAAAAGGAAATCACAGGGTGCTATTAAAGGCCTAGAGTTCCACCTTGCTGCCAAAATGACTGAGGAAAAATACTAATTTCATGAGAGAAAATAAATAGAAGAGAGTAATTCTCCCTTACCAAGCCAGCTTTGGTTTTCAAAAAGGAAGCAAAGATTTGGAGACTGAGACACAAGTTTTGACAGCATACAATACCATGAATATCATTTCCAGATAACTGCAGAAAATTGATTTTCCTTTTACACAGATGCCTATGCTCATATGCCTGGAATACTGATTATTTGCTCATTCTGGAATATTTATTAATAACATTCTAGTGATACCTTTAAAACATCCTAGTCTTTATTCATATCATCTGTTTTTAGTGTCTTATGACACTTCTAGAAAAGGCAGACATAATGTCATGCACATCTAACAGTGCAGTCTGGCCCTCTGGCAACTGTGGTATTGTTCTGGTTAGATAAGGGCAATTCCATCTCCTCTACTCATTCTTTTGACTTGTAGCCACAGTTTCTAACCACTAAAATCTAGTTAGCAAGTTTGTTATCTTCTGAACAGCTTTAACCCCATGAGGTGTCTGCATGTGTTTGCTCACCATGAACGTCTGTATGCAGAGCTCCATCCCCATCCTTACATAGTGAGCTGTTCTAGGTTCCTCTTTGAGGACAAAAGTCCTGAGGTGCACATGTTAGTTCTCTCCCTTGGTACCTTGTAACCTGTTCCCTGTGGCATCATGGCACCGAGGACTTGGAAGCAACTTTTAGAAAGCCAGGGGGCTCCATCATGGGCATTTCTTTCTCAATCTACATATCATCAAACAACTCCCATGATTGTAATACTGCCTATAAGCTGATGACTTCCAGAGGTTGAATCTCCATTCCAGACTTCCTTTTGAACACCAAACCCAGATATATATCTTCCTGCTTGACATCTCTATTTCAAGAGGTAAATTGAAACTTTGTATGCTTCAGTTGAATAATCCATCTTGGAGTTTTAATTGAAATTTTTATTTCATTTATATTTAATGTAATGAATGATCTAGTTGAGTTTGAGTTGACTATATTGCTATTTGCTTTCGACTGTTCCCACATGTTCTTTGTTCCCTTACCCCTTATTTTCTGCCTTCTTTTGGATACAGGGTATGTTTATTATTCCATTTTGTCTGTTAGCATTTTAATTAGAACGTTCCCTATTTTTAGAATAAAAAGGCATTTTTTTACTTATTAGGGGATCTTTTTGGCCTACTTGAACTTAAATTGATATTTTTACCACTCTAGAGCAGTGGAAGAAACTTTCAACAGTGTAATTCCATTTACCCCCTCCTGTCTTCTGTGCTATTATATTTTACTTCTATATTTATGTAAAAATACATAATTATTATTGTGACTTTAAGAAGTCAATATTCTTTTATATTTACCCACAAAGTTACCCTTTCTGTGTGTTTCATTCCTTCCTGCATTTCATGCTGCCCTCTGGAATCATTTTCTTTCAACCTGAAGAATTTCCTTTACTACTTTTTGTAGTATGGGTTGGTTACTAACAAATTCTTTGGGGTTTTTGTTTGTTTGTTCCTGGACACATTTTTATTTTGCCCTATTTTTTGAAGGATATTTTCACTAGACATAAAATTCTGGGATTCATTGGGTTTGAATTTCTAGGTGTTTTTTTTTCTTTTCCTTTCAACACTTTAAAGATGTCACTGCATTATCTTCTGGTTTCCATGGCTGCAGGTGAAAAGTTAGGTATATTTCTAATTTTTCTTTTCATAAATAATGTGTAGTTTTTCTCTTACTACTTTTGAGAATTCACCTTCATTTGGTTTTTGGAAGTTTGATGATAGTTGCCTAAGTGTGGTATTCTTTGTATTTATCTATTTCGGGATTTGTTAAGTTTCTTAAATCTGTGGCCTGACCCGTTCATCAGATTTGGAAATTTCTTGACCATCCTTTCTCCAGATATTTCCTGACTCTTCATAGGTCTCATATTTTACCAAATGCTGGGTGTCATGTATAAGTAAACCATAGACAATAAAATCAATGTTATTTTCAACAGGAGAAAGTTTGGTCTTTCCAATTTAGACAAATCATCCTAATCCAATCAGGAATTGAGCTAGGCTGGTGCTCAGAGGCATTTTTAGTTAGACATAATCCTCCTCTAGTTACAAGGACAAGAATTGTGGTATGTTTGTGGCACAGCCCTCATTCTGTGGGACTTTATCTCCTAAGCACTTACTCCCAAGTACAGCTGTGGGATCTTTCTGGCCCAGTCTATTTGTACGCCCATCATACGCCCTACATACGCCCTACACACTCAGCAAACATCCCACAAGGAAAACCAGCTATACATCTGGAAGACTAATGGATTCCAATTTGTTATACCAATCCACATATCAGGTGCTTCACTGGTTTCCCTTCACCCTGTAGAGTCTCTCTGCTTATGCCAAGCTCAATTTTCAGCCTAGGCCAAGGTGTGACAAATGCTCCCGGGGAAGTAAACAGTTGGTTCTCTTAGCTCACCCAGGAAGGCCTCCTCCATCTCTGCAATTTTAGCTATTTGCTTCCACAGCTGTCTAATGCCATTAAAGAGATGTTTTACACTTTAAAAATGTATACGTATTTTTAGCTATTGTAGTGGAAATAATGGCCTTCTGCCATTTACTATATCCTTCCTGGAGACAGAACTGAAGCGTTTTTAGCAGCTACGAGAAAAATATTAAGGACCTCAGTCTGGTAATCAATGCTTCACAATCTGATCTTTACCTACATTTATAGAATTACACCCCAATCTCTCACTTCCTGAAATCCTCTGATGTTTATGGAACAACCCCTTTATTTTTCTGGCTCTATGCATTTTTGCTTATTTCATCCTAGTTTTTGTGATGTCCCTCCCTTTCCTATAGATCAATACTTACTGCTCTCTGATACATCCCAGGCTGGCCTGAATTTTGCTCAGTGTTGCTCAGTCTAAATTTTTGAAACATGACTTATTCTATTAATTTTCTAGTGAATTATCCTCCTCCCTAGTGATAACACATATTATTTATTTCTAGTATGGCGATTTAATTTTTTCTGCTACTATTGCTTTTTTTCCTCAACCATAAAGTATCTGTTAACAATCATGCTCAGTTCAGATCTCTGTATTCCCTACAGTGCCTAGCACAGAACAGAGTAATCCTTAAGACATTTACCAAGTCCAATGCTGGCCTATTTTAATCATCTACGTTTCAGTATAAATGACTTTCTAACCTGAGGCTGCTGGGAGCAGACACATTTCTGTCTAAGAGTAACCTGTCTCATAGAACTGCGTCTTTGGAATCTAGATGTTACCCTTCTCGTCGCAGCCCTACAGGGTTTTCTCTTCCTTTTTCTTTATCACATTCCCTCTCTGTCTTTCCTCGGTTCTCTGATTCTCGGTGGATAGTGAGAGGGTCTCTTCTCACTGTGATTTCTCATCAGCTACAGACCTGCCCTTAAATAGTTACCTGCAAAAGCTGCAGTACAGTCATCACACAGGATGAGGACTGCCTTGGCCCTTAATATTTATTGTCTCATGCTCCCACACCTGGAAATACAAAGATAACCTTTCCTCACTAGGAAAGGTCAGCAGCGAGAAAACCAGAGGGATCCCAGGAATCCTCAACATCGGATTATGGGGGTGGAAGTATGGAAATCCACAGGAAACCCAGGTAATGAGAACCTAGAACTAGTGTGTGTGTGTGTTATGTGTAATCGTCACAGCATCGGGGACTATCAATATTACTGATACTTTTTGATAGATCTTGTAGGACAAAAAAGAAAAGAAATTCCTACTATGGTTGTTAAAAGACCCAGTTGTTTTCACCAAATATATTTTATGTCCAATTGTCATGGCAGTATACGACCTCTGCGTACCAGTAGGTACAGATCTGCAATCGCTCTATGCTATATTGCATTATAACAATACACTTGGTTACTGTACGCATTGTCTTAAAACTTTGTTCCTTGTGTAGCATCTTACGTGCTCACGGCCAAAAAGATGAAAGTACAATGCTCTTGACCTCCCTACTTATAGATCATAGCGTACTGGTAAACATATTTACTTATGATATTTGAAGAATACATATGTGTTCAGCTATTGTCCATTTAAACTTTAAACCACTGCTTTTATTGTGGGTGACATCACTTTTATAAAAGGGTTTTATATGAGGACATACCACTCAGCTATATCACATAATAAAAAGGATATAAACTTAAATGTGCAATTATATTATTAAGAATAATACGCAGTAACAAGATAGCCTTTTAAAAAGAAGACCCCCCTCCCCAAAAGCAATAGAGTATTTTAAAATCAGGTTGATTTTTGGAAAGAAACTAGCCATACACTGTCCAGCCCCTTTCTTCCAAGTCAGTTGCCAACAGAGAGAAGGTATTCTCATACTTCCTCCATGCTGGAAGTCTTAGAGGAGCTGGTCTCCTAAGTGGTGGTCCAACATTGTCACTGGGTGGATAAGCCTGTTTTTTTCTGAGTTCAATATTGGGAAGCATCTGCTTTATCCTTCACCCTAGCCTTTATCACTAGAAAGGGAGTATTTGGTTCTCCACCTGCTAACTCTTTTGCTTTATCAGTTGGTTCAGAACTTAAATGGTAAAGAGGTCGCTATTTATTTGACCTTCTTTGACTCCAGTACACTCAGTAGAGTTTCAACTCATTCTGGAATGGAAAGAAAGGAATGATGCCAACTAAATGTGGCATAATGTGACAACTGTGACATAATGCTTGTTCAATGACATCATTTGTTTTTATGGTTGACCCTTTGAACAACACAGGAGTTAGGGGCACTGCACCCATGTGCAGTCAAAAATCTGTACATAATTTTTACATCCCAAAACTACCAATGGCCTACCGTTGACCAGAGACCTTAACAACAACATTTAACAGTCAACATATATTTTGTATGTTATATGTATTACATGCTGTATTCTTACAATAAAGTAAGCTAGAGAAAAGAAAATGTTAAGAAAATCATAAGGAAGAGAAAATACGTTTATAGGACTGGACTGTATTTATCAGAAAGAATCTACACATACGTGGGTCCACACAGTTCAAACCACATTGTTTGTAGGACAGCTGTATATGTTTTTAGGTAGAGAAAATGAATTAAGTGGCTAAATTTGGACAGAAATCCAGGTCTTTGAACTCTCAATCAGGCAAATGGTCTTTTTTTCTGCTATGTAACACTACTTTGATCAAAGCCAAACAAGTTTTCCTAAGCCATGGGAGCTAAGTTTGGCAACACACCAAATTATGATTTGACGTTGGATGGAAGGGAGCTTGAATTTTTTGGCTCCTTCACTTTTGAAATGGCAAGTTACCTTTATAGGTTGGGACAGCGTCCACCTTCCCTTGTTTAACTCGTTGTCTCTCCAAAGGCCGGACTATGGCCACAGGCTGCACTTTGTAAGAATTAAAATCCCGCTTGTAGGTGGTGTCAAGATCAACCTCCCCCTGTTGTGGTTTGTATTCTTCTGGTACGTGGCGAGGCTGTTTGACTATCTCATAAGGACGATAATCCGATCTGAAATATATGAGTTTGCAACATAGCCTCACAGGTTCCTTTATTTCTAATTTTTCTAATGCAGGACTGAAATTTTCAAGGTTTATTTCGGTTGAAAAGTCTAAGAAGATATTAAAATGGTGATAGTTAATAAACTACTTGAGAGAAACAATTTAATTCCTTTATGTCCTACCCAGCAACTAACATCTTAAGAAATATGTCAAAAATCCTAGTTTTCAAACATCATTATGATGTGGATCTTCAGTTGATTGGATCTTACGTAAATAAAATCTTGAAGTAACTGAATTTTTTTCTAACCCGGAAGGAAATCTTATGTGAGAGATTTAATGAGTCTAAGAAAAAATTTTAAATATATCCCCTGGGTCCTACTTTGTCAAATTCCTTATTCATCCTACTTAAAGACTAAGCTCTTTGGGCATGCTTTCCGCTTACTGAAATCATGCTGTCTTCCTGCTTATTATAAAGAACCAATTAAATAAATAATGAATGTCTGAACTCTGGCCTTCAGTCATAGATCACATTCATAGTATGGATGTGGTTCTTACTCGTCTTTGGATCCCCGAGAGCCGCATATCGCAGCCCAGCCACCCTGGGCATTGTATGACATTCTGTGGCAGAAATGGTGCTGTAGACACTGGGCTGTCTGGTGGGGTGCAGATGACAGACCCAGAGTGACCAGACTGCCTGGGTCCAAATCCTGGCTCTGTCATTCATTAGATGTGTGACCTTGGGCAACTTAGTTGCCCTGTCTAGGCCCCAGTTGCCTTATATATAAACTAGGACAATCATGTCATCTAGCTCATAGGGTTGTCTCAAGGACTGGCGCACATACGTGCACGCACATGTACACACGCGTGAGAGAGCTTGGGACACAGTAAGGGCAACATGTCAGCTATTACTATTATGACTACACGTCTTCAAAACTGCTTTTTTTCTTCTGAACTCTACTGAGTGTGTCACTCATTTTATTGGTATAAGCCATCTTGTATTAATCACTATTTTCTATTTATGTCCATAAGCTCCCAAACCCCAAATCCTCACTGAATCCCTTCTACTCATGATACAATTTCTTAGACTTGTTGGCTCCTCTTCCTCAATCCTATCCACCCCCGTCAAGCCGGGGTCCAGCACTGCCTAACGGGTCACAGTGGCTTCTCTGTGACGGAGTCTGTAGTCCTCCTCTTATTCGATGGGCATTATGGCCCACTCCCTCTGTCTCCAGGAGACTCTCTCCTCCTGCCTTCCTGCTGGTTTCTCCTCAGTCTCTGGTGCAGCTTCGTCCCCCCTCTCCTCGGCCACTAAATGCTGGGGGTTTCTCAACACTGGGGCCCACACACGTTCCTCTTCTCCTCCGGTGCTCACCCCTGAAGACAGCTCTACTCCCACAGCTTCAATTACTACCGAAATAGAAATGACCCACCAATTTATAGGTCAGCTCAGACCCTTCTCTGAGCTCCCTACCTGTATTCGCAACGCCACCTCAACACTTAACATGCCCCCAACCAAATCACCATTTGCCCCCAACAAATCTGGTCCGTTTGCTGGCGCCCCATCGTAGTGAAGAGCATCACCATCTCTTTAGCAGCCGAGACCCAGCTCTCAGCCTTCTCACCTCAGCTCCCTCGTGTGGCTGCTGCTTCACCAAGTCCCGTCACTTGGACCTCCTAACTCTCTCAAATCTCCTGTCATTACCACAACAGGTCCAAGCTCCCACAATAGCTTATTCACATCAATTCAACAATCCCTAAACTCATTTACCTGCGTCCACTCATTCTAGCTTCTCTCCGCCTTTCCTCACCTGGCCCCCAAAGTGATCCTTTCACATGTAAATTTGATCAAGTCATTCCTGCCCTGAGCTGCCTAGCCTATTCCTTAATTAGCCCCCTTTTATACCCCCTCAAAAAACAGGCAAGCAGGCAGACAAATGAGAAAGAAAAGACACCTTCAGTGGCCTCTTACTGCTCCAAGGACACAGAACACCCCACACGTGGCCCAGAGGCCCCACGTGGCTCCTTCACTAGCCACCAGAGAAAACTTCCTCCTGCTTTCCTCTTGCTCGCCTTCTCTCCCTGCTCCTGCCGGCTGCATGCTGCTCTCTCTGTCTGCACTGCGTTTCCTTACCTACTTCATCCAGTTAACTGCTTCACACCCTTCAGGATTTCACTCATTCTTCTCATTTCCCTGATAAAATCAAACCTTGTATTCTGGCTCTCAAGTCCCCTCGTGCCTATCCCTCATGGATTTTATCCCCGCTGCGATCTTGTACTTATTTTGGGCGATGCGCTGCTGCCTTCACTAGACGGCAGCATCTGTGGGCACAGAGATCGCGACTGTTTCTGCTAACGGCTATATCCCAGGTGCTCAGCACGGTGCCTGACACTTAACAAGCGCTCACTAAGTATTATTTAATAGATAAATAGTAGAAATCACGTACCTCTTATTCTCAAGACATCTGAGTTGTTCTTTGCTCTTCCCAAATACCAGCTAGAGGGACATAGGCTAAAACGCAATCAGGAAGTGGAAGAATCAGGGGGAGGACAGAGAGAAAGGTTTGAAGTCTTAGTTTCTCTGGTTAGATTAGTTGAATGTTAGAAAGTGTACCTCCAAACCCAAAGCAGCTTTCTATGGAGAAGTGGTAATGGGTAAATACACTCTTAGTCATCGGATATGTCCCCAAACATAGAACATGTCCATAACCATACTTCCAGGGCAGACTCCTCGCCGACTCTGGCAGTCCTCGAACTGTACAGCAACCGTCCTGCTATAAAGGATCCAAAGTCTTAAGCACGTCTAGACATCTGCTCTTTATAGTCTCGTCCTCTATTCTAGAAAAGTATAGGATGACCCTTTATTCTCTGTACAGATAATCAGCTTTTTGCTGCTTAGTCAATACAGTTGACATAAGGGAGTGAAGGAAGGGCTCTAAACCCCCGGCATATGGCTCTTGGAAATACTGCTAGTTCCCCAGTCAAAATACAAAGAAAAGATGCAGTGTTTTACTTAGTGTAGCGATGATGATTTGAGAAATGGAAATTTTAGTTTTATTGGCATATTCTGACCTTTTGGGAGTTGGGACATCTTTTTCTTTCTTTTTGATTTTTGTTTGTTTGGTTGTTTTTTGGGTTTGTGTTTTGTTTTTGTTTTTTACTATATAGGGATACTTGAACAAGTCAACTGACAAACCCAGAATTGAAAAGCAATTGCCTTTTTAAAGAAAGATATGGCAGGTTTTCCCAATTTTAACATTCAGAACTAGTTAAATGCAAAATCTTTATTCAACAAATATGCATATTGTGGAATTTATTCCACATTATTATCATATTATTATTAATATTAATAATTATTAATCATAATCTCCATTATGAATCATTAAGGTATCGAGGAAGAATGAACGGTAAGACGAAGAAAAAAGAGCAACCACTCCCATTTGCTCTGTCTCAGTCATTCAATTTCTTCATCTCATTTGCTTTAATCTGTATCTTGTTTATTAATCCGTGTTTCTGTTTTTCAACTGCCATTCCCACAAGGCTGTAAAAGCCAGAGTGGGGCACAGTCCTTCTCTACGTCCCATGTCATACCCAGGGATCAGTGCCCTACTTGACCCATTTCATTGAATCTACAGCAACAGAATGACCAGCAATGGTGGTTAAAATGCAGATTCCTGGGATCCACTCCGTTATCTATTGACTGTTTTAGGTGGAATTCTGGAATCTGCAATTTTAACCCTTCTGGATGATTCTAAAGCATACCAAGTCTGAGGACTATGGAAGATTTTCAAATCTGTGGAAGAGCCACACACCTACAGAAGCTAAGAGAGTCACCGAGCACTATTACTGTAAGGGTTGCCTGAAATTTTAAAGGTAGAAGTACTGGACTCAAAGTTTGAAGGTTTCAACCTTTGTTCTGGCAAGTAGAATAAGCTCTTTCTAAAATGATATGAAAATGGATAACACAGCAAATTAAAGTTATTGTAGAGCATTTTTAAAAACCCAAATTATAGAAATCTGATACATTCCTTGAAAGCAGAAACCTCTATTTATTGATCCTTTTATACTTGACATCTAAGATTGTACCTTGAGTATGGTATGCACATTAACAGAATAAAGAAAAGAATTAACCCATTGACAAAGACACAAAACAATTTTTTTTTTAAAGATTTATTTATTTGACAGAGAGAAACACAGTGAGAGAGGGAACACAAGCAGGGGGAGTGGGAGAGGGAGAAGCAGGCTTCCCCCTGAGCAGGGAGCCCGATGCGGGGCTCGTTCCCAGGACCCTGGGATCATGACCTGAGCCGAAGGCAGATGCTTAACCGACTGAGCCACCCAGGCGCCCCCAATTTTTTTTTTTTTTAAGCTAAGCCTAAATGAGGAGTTAAGGCTTAGGAGGATTTTTTTTTTTTTTTTTTGGTCTATCATCCACTGAATGAATATTGAGTGCCTCCTACACGCTAGCAGGCATCATGCTAGGTTTCTGGAAATAGAATGTCAAGATAAGAATAGACACGATTCCTGCTTGCATGGGCCTCTGAAATGGATCTATGATAAATAATAGGAAGATGCTTTGAGGGCTTACATAGGGGATTTTTACCCAGCCTGAGAACTGGATACACATGTGTCAGAGGCTCTCAGAGTGATAACTGAGTTGAGATCTATAGGTTACACAGGCATTAACTGGGGTAAAAGGGAGAGAAATTTCCAAGTAAGTAAAATAGTGTATTGGAAGGCTCTGTGGCAAGGGAATCCTGATATTTTCAAGAAATGAGGGGCACCTGGGTGGCTCAGTCGTTAAGCGTCTGCCTTTGGCTCAGGTCATGATCCCAGGGTCCTGGGATCGAGCCCCGCATCAGGCTCCCTGCTCCGCGGGAAGCCTGCTTCTCCCTCTCCCACTCCCCCTGCTTGTGTTCCCTCTCTCGCTGTCTCTCTGTCAAATAAATAAATAAAATCTTCAAAAAAAAAAAAAAAGATAGAAATGAGAAATGTCCCATGGGATGTGAGCATTAAAAAGCACATTGAAAATAAATTAGAGAAGCAATTAGGGACCAAACCATGAAGGGATTTTGGTGTATATTAAATACAATGGGGAAAGTATAAGTATTTTAAGCAACGAGATGATAGGATTAGAACTGCATTTTAAAAAGATCCTCTCTGCAGGCTAAAGTATAGGAAACAGATCAGAGATGTAAAAACTAGAGTAGATGCAGAAAAAACAGGAAGTTCCTGTATTCCTCTAGTTGGAGGTGACAGTGGAAAGTCTCTTATAGACATAAGAGATTTTAAGTAGTTAAATAAAAATCAATAAAACGTTTTATTTCCCTTTTTCTTTCTTACTTTCTGTCATTCTAACTTAATTTTCATCTTTCTGTTTTTCTCAAGCTGTGATTCAACTAGTTCCTTGCTTCTTGAATTGGTTCAACTTCGATCAACTTAATAGTTCACTTTAAATAGTTAAAAAACTTTATTAAGACCAGAAGAGTTGGGAGAGAAGTAAGTAAAGCAGTTAGTTTCTTAATATTTACTTAAATGTTGTTATTCCTTCCATTTTACCACGGCATGCTCGAAATTCTTGCTTGGGTTTCAGACTCTGAGGTGGAAGAACATTGCCATAGGTAGGATATTTTTCCAAATATTCAGTGGTGGGGCAAGATATGCCAGAATTTTCATAAATCCTTGTGGTTCCATGTGGACAGTGATGTCGCCTGTGCAAACATAAATAAACTGAAAGATTATTTTGACTTCCAAAAATATTTTATGATAATTGCATCTTCATCAGAGAGACCTTCAATAAACATAGAATCTCTAAATTTAAAAGCAACCTTACTAAAAAACAAACACAAAATACCTTCTGTTTATTCTGCAATGGTGTTTACCAAAACAAGAGAAAGGTATGATATATCCTTTACGGTGGAAACTCTCGTTTTCCTCTGACAAAGATTTAGTGGGTCTCCTTATACTAAGAAGCTGAAAAAGCTCACAAGCACATCTACCAGGCCCCTTGCAAGCAGGTTCCCCACCCAATTTAGCTTTCACCTGCTGGATGTTCACATGATACTCCAAATCAGAGAGTGCTTCCTAGGGAGAGGGGCAGAGCCCAGCCCTGTTGCTGGCAGGGTCGTGGGAGAGGCGCCGAGAGGCTGGAGCCAGCAGCTGTCAGGCGGCATTCAGGTTTGCAAGGTGGCTTCCTGACTGGCAGCTCCCTGACCTTGGCAGTAAGGAGTGGTTCCCTGCCAACAACTGGGAATCTGCAGCCGAGCGGTAGGCCTCTCAGAACCACTCCTTAACTCTGTAACAGAGAACCCTGACCAATATATCATATAAGCTAATAGCACACAGTGGTTACAGAGAATGGGGTTGATCTTTAGGTGTGGCTACTGCAAGATGCAGAAATTGTAAACACTGAAAAAGTGGGTTGTAGAAGAGTATGTGTGGTATGCTCTGTTTCTCTCTCTTTCCTTGTAAAGGACTTGTAAAACAAGTCTTAAGGAACATTTTTATTTGTGTGGAGTAGGATTATGAGGGATTTTCACTATATTTCACATTTTTTGCCTTGCATTTTCATACCATGCCTCATGTATATTCATTTCATAATCAGAAAAAAAAACAACAACCATAAAAGCTCTTAACAAAACAGACAGAAAAACCCAAGCAAACAACAAAAAAGTATCATCCCACAATGCTGAAATAGGAGGTCGGTTTCTCAGGTCCGATGTCATTTGGGGACCCGGGCTATGTGTGAGGGCTAATAATACAAGCCCAAGGAAAGGTGAATTTGAGGGAAATGCAGATGCTCTGTAGATGAAATCAGAACCGGCTAGGATATCTGGACTCCGTGAACCCCCAGGAAGAACATAAGAGAGATCAGCTGCTCTGCCTGGAGGCTGCTGGATAGCAGGAAGAATTGTAATGCAGAGAAGAGTGAAGAGGTTGTGTCAAAGGCTATTCAGGTACATTCAAAATCAGAGGAGTTGAGAGATTCGGGATTATTGGCTGACAATGGAGGCTTTGGGAAAGTGCTGAAGTTGACTTGGGGTATACCACACATGGTCTCTTGGGAAAATCAGGGACAGGGTACATAGGTCATGCATGGAGGTTCTGATATGGGCGCACTGAGTTACAAGAATCAAGTCGAAGCTTTGAAATTTCTCGTTGTTCTTAGTTTTATTTTCCAGCAAAGACATACATTCACATTATAACAAAACAAATAAATACCGAAAAGCTTATAAAGGAAAGCCAAAGTCTCCTGTCCCAATGTTTCTTATCTCTAGAAACAACTTTCTGATGATCTCTGCTTTTTAGTTTTCTGGAGGCTACATCTGTTTTTTAATTTTTTTATGAGCTTTGAAGATCTTGATTTATCTGCTTAAATGACCAACTTTCAAATCCTAACATAAACATGACAGATTTGATTGGTACCATTCCACTCACTTCCCACTGTTGCATGGGTCAATCATTCCGTGGAATCGACATGCTCCTAATATTTATTTAGCAGTGATTTAATCCCTGGGCCAACAATGAAGCTGAGGGAGAAGACTGTGTTTACAGGGGGTGGGAAGTTGTTAGGCAGGACTCAGACCAATTCTGGGTTTCAGGGTGGAGGCTACTCCCTTCTCAGTCAGGCAGATTCCTAAGGGAGCACTACTGCTTGGAGGGTACCAGGGACAGGGTGCGGCTTGGATGGAAAGCGGGGCACTGCCTGGAGGGGACCGGGGACACGTCGGGCTTGGATGGAAAGCGGGGGCACTGCCTGGAGGGGACCGGGGACACGGTGGGGCTTGGATGGAAAGCGGGGGCACTGCCTGGAGGGGACCGGGGACGCGGTGGGGCTTGGATGGAAAGCGGGGGCACTGCCTGGAGGGGACCGGGGACCCGGTCGGGCTTGGATGGAAAGCGGGGGGCACTGCCTGGAGGGACCCGGGGACCCGGTCGGGCTTGGATGGAAAGCGGGGGCACTGCCTGGAGGGGACCGGGGACCCGGTCGGGCTTGGATGGAAAGCGGGGGCACTGCCTGGAGGGGACCGGGGACCCGGTCGGGCTTGGATGGAAAGCGGGGGCACTGCCTGGAGGGGACCGGGGACACGTCGGGCTTGGATGGAAAGCGGGGGCACTGCCTGGAGGGGATCGGGGACACGGTCGGGCTTGGATGGAAAGCGGGGGCACTGCCTGGAGGGGACCGGGGACCCGGTCGGGCTTGGATGGAAAGCGGGGGCACTGCCTGGAGGGGACCGGGGACACGTCGGGCTTGGATGGAAAGCGGGGGCACTGCCTGGAGGGGATCGGGGACACGGTCGGGCTTGGATGGAAAGCGGGGGCACTGCCTGGAGGGGACCGGGGACACGTCGGGCTTGGATGGAAAGCGGGGGCACTGCCTGGAGGGGACCGGGGACACGGTCGGGCTTGGATGGAAAGCGGGGGCACTGCCTGGAGGGGACCGGGGACCCGGTCGGGCTTGGATGGAAAGCGGGGGCACTGCCTGGAGGGGACCGGGACCCGGTCGGGCTTGGATGGAAAGCGGGGGCACTGCCTGGAGGGGACCGGGGACACGTCGGGCTTGGATGGAAAGCGGGGGCACTGCCTGGAGGGGACCGGGGACACGGTCGGGCTTGGATGGAAAGCGGGGGCACTGCCTGGAGGGGACCGGGGACGCGGTCGGGCTTGGATGGAAAGCGGGGGCACTGCCTGGAGGGGATCGGGGACCTGGTCCGGCTTGGATGGAAAGCGGGGGCACTGCCTGGAGGGGCCCGGGGACCCGGTCGGGCTTGGATGGAAAGCGGGGGCACTGCCTGGAGGGGACCGGGGACGCGGTGGGGCTTGGATGGAAAGCGGGGGCACTGCCTGGAGGGGACCGGGGACCCGGTCGGGCTTGGATGGAAAGCGGGGGCACTAGCTGGAGGGGACCGGGGACCCGGTCGGGCTTGGATGGAAAGCGGGGGCACTGCCTGGAGGGGACCGGGGACCCGGTCGGGCTTGGATGGAAAGCGGGGGCACTGCCTGGAGGGGACCGGGGACACGTCGGGCTTGGATGGAAAGCGGGGGCACTGCCTGGAGGGGATCGGGGACACGGTGGGGCTTGGATGGAAAGCGGGGGCACTGCCTGGAGGGGCCCGGGGACACGGTGGGGCTTGGATGGAAAGCGGGGGCACTGCCTGGAGGGGACCGGGGACACGGTGGGGCTTGGATGGAAAGCGGGGGCACTGCCTGGAGGGGACCGGGGACGCGGTCGGGCTTGGATGGAAAGCGGGGGCACTGCCTGGAGGGGCCCGGGGACCCGGTCGGGCTTGGATGGAAAGCGGGGGCACTGCCTGGAGGGGCCCGGGGACCCGGTCCGGCTTGGATGGAAAGCGGGGGCACTGCCTGGAGGGGCCCGGGGACCCGGTCGGGCTTGGATGGAAAGCGGGGGCACTGCCTGGAGGGGACCGGGGACCCGGTCGGGCTTGGATGGAAAGCGGGGCACTGCCTGGAGGGGACCGGGGATGCGGTCGGGCTTGGATGGAAAGCGGGGGCACTGCCTGGAGGGGACCGGGGACGCGGTCGGGCTTGGATGGAAAGCGGGGGCACTGCCTGGAGGGGACCGGGGACCCGGTCCGGCTTGGATGGAAAGCGGGGGCACTGCCTGGAGGGGCCCGGGGACCCGGTCGGGCTTGGATGGAAAGCGGTGGCACTGCCTGGAGGGGACCGGGGACGCGGTGGGGCTTGGATGGAAAGCGGGGGCACTGCCTGGAGGGGACCGGGGACCCGGTCGGGCTTGGATGGAAAGCGGGGGCACTGCCTGGAGGGGACCGGGGACCCGGTCGGGCTTGGATGGAAAGCGGGGGCACTGCCTGGAGGGGACCGGGGACCCGGTCGGGCTTGGATGGAAAGCGGGGGCACTGCCTGGAGGGGCCCGGGGACCCGGTCGGGCTTGGATGGAAAGCGGGGGCACTGCCTGGAGGGGACCGGGGACCCGGTCGGGCTTGGATGGAAAGCGGGGGCACTGCCTGGAGGGGACCGGGGACCCGGTCGGGCTTGGATGGAAAGCGGGGGCACTGCCTGGAGGGGACCGGGGACCCGGTCGGGCTTGGATGGAAAGCGGGGGCACTGCCTGGAGGGGCCCGGGGACCCGGTCGGGCTTGGATGGAAAGCGGGGGCACTGCCTGGAGGGGACCGGGGACGCGGTGGGGCTTGGATGGAAAGCGGGGGCACTGCCTGGAGGGGACCGGGGACCCGGTCGGGCTTGGATGGAAAGCGGGGGCACTGCCTGGAGGGGCCCGGGGACACGGTGGGGCTTGGATGGAAAGCGGGGGCACTGCCTGGAGGGGACCGGGGACCCGGTCGGGCTTGGATGGAAAGCGGGGGCACTGCCTGGAGGGGACCGGGGACCCGGTCGGGCTTGGATGGAAAGCGGGGGCACTGCCTGGAGGGGCCCGGGGACCCGGTCGGGCTTGGATGGGAAGCGGGGGCACTGCCTGGAGGGGACCGGGGACCCGGTCCGGCTTGGATGGGAAGCGGGGGCACTGCCTGGAGGGGCCCGGGGACCCGGTCGGGCTTGGATGGAAAGCGGTGGCACTGCCTGGAGGGGACCGGGGACGCGGTGGGGCTTGGATGGAAAGCGGGGGCACTGCCTGGAGGGGACCGGGGACGCGGTGGGGCTTGGATGGAAAGCGGGGGCACTGCCTGGAGGGGACCGGGGACCCGGTCCGGCTTGGATGGAAAGCGGGGGCACTGCCTGGAGGGGCCCGGGGACCCGGTCGGGCTTGGATGGAAAGCGGTGGCACTGCCTGGAGGGGCCCGGGGACCCGGTCGGGCTTGGATGGAAAGCGGTGGCACTGCCTGGAGGGGCCCGGGGACCCGGTCGGGCTTGGATGGAAAGCGGGGGCACTGCCTGGAGGGGATCGGGGACACGGTCGGGCTTGGATGGAAAGCGGGGGTACTGCCTGGAGGGGCCCGGGGACGCGGTCGGGCTTGGATGGAAAGCGGGGGTACTGCCTGGAGGGGACCGGGGACCCGGTCGGGCTTGGATGGAAAGCGGGGGCACTGCCTGGAGGGGACCGGGGACCCGGTCGGGCTTGGATGGAAAGCGGGGGCACTGCCTGGAGGGGACCGGGGACCCGGTCGGGCTTGGATGGAAAGCGGGGGCACTGCCTGGAGGGGATCGGGGACACGGTCGGGCTTGGATGGAAAGCGGGGGCACTGCCTGGAGGGGACCGGGGACACGTCGGGCTTGGATGGAAAGCGGGGGCACTGCCTGGAGGGGATCGGGGACACGGTCGGGCTTGGATGGAAAGCGGGGGCACTGCCTGGAGGGGACCGGGGACCCGGTCGGGCTTGGATGGGAAGCGGGGGCACTGCCTGGAGGGGACCGGGGACACGTCGGGCTTGGATGGAAAGCGGGGGCACTGCCTGGAGGGGACCGGGGACACGTCGGGCTTGGATGGAAAGCGGGGGCACTGCCTGGAGGGGATCGGGGACACGGTCGGGCTTGGATGGAAAGCGGGGGCACTGCCTGGAGGGGACCGGGGACCCGGTCGGGCTTGGATGGGAAGCGGGGGCACTGCCTGGAGGGGACCGGGGACACGTCGGGCTTGGATGGAAAGCGGGGGCACTGCCTGGAGGGGATCGGGGACACGGTCGGGCTTGGATGGAAAGCGGGGGCACTGCCTGGAGGGGACCGGGGACGCGGTCGGGCTTGGATGGAAAGCGGGGGCACTGCCTGGAGGGGACCGGGGACCCGGTCGGGCTTGGATGGAAAGCGGGGGCACTGCCTGGAGGGGACCGGGGACCCGGTCGGGCTTGGATGGAAAGCGGGGGCACTGCCTGGAGGGGATCGGGGACACGGTCGGGCTTGGATGGAAAGCGGGGGCACTGCCTGGAGGGGACCGGGGACCCGGTCGGGCTTGGATGGAAAGCGGGGGCACTGCCTGGAGGGGACCGGGGACCCGGTCGGGCTTGGATGGAAAGCGGGGGCACTGCCTGGAGGGGATCGGGGACACGGTCGGGCTTGGATGGAAAGCGGGGGCACTGCCTGGAGGGGACCGGGGACACGTCGGGCTTGGATGGAAAGCGGGGGCACTGCCTGGAGGGGATCGGGGACACGGTCGGGCTTGGATGGAAAGCGGGGGCACTGCCTGGAGGGGACCGGGGACACGTCGGGCTTGGATGAAAGCGGGGGCACTGCCTGGAGGGGATCGGGGACACGGTCGGGCTTGGATGGAAAGCGGGGGCACTGCCTGGAGGGGACCGGGGACCCGGTCGGGCTTGGATGGGAAGCGGGGGCACTGCCTGGAGGGGATCGGGGACACGGTCGGGCTTGGATGGGAAGCGGGGGCACTGCCTGGAGGGGACCGGGGACCCGGTCGGGCTTGGATGGAAAGCGGGGGCACTGCCTGGAGGGGACCGGGGACCCGGTCGGGCTTGGATGGAAAGCGGGGGCACTGCCTGGAGGGGACCGGGGACCCGGTCGGGCTTGGATGGAAAGCGGGGGCACTGCCTGGAGGGGACCGGGGACCCGGTCGGGCTTGGATGGAAAGCGGGGGCACTGCCTGGAGGGGACCGGGGACACGTCGGGCTTGGATGGAAAGCGGGGGCACTGCCTGGAGGGGACCGGGGACACGTCGGGCTTGGATGGGAAGCGGGGGCACTGCCTGGAGGGGCCCGGGGACCCGGTCGGGCTTGGATGGAAAGCGGGGGCACTGCCTGGAGGGGATCGGGGACACGGTCGGGCTTGGATGGAAAGCGGGGGCACTGCCTGGAGGGGCCCGGGGACGCGGTCGGGCTTGGATGGAAAGCGGGGGCACTGCCTGGAGGGGACCGGGGACCCGGTCGGGCTTGGATGGAAAGCGGGGGCACTGCCTGGAGGGGACCGGGGACCCGGTCGGGCTTGGATGGAAAGCGGGGGCACTGCCTGGAGGGGATCGGGGACACGGTCGGGCTTGGATGGAAAGCGGGGGCACTGCCTGGAGGGGACCGGGGACACGTCGGGCTTGGATGGAAAGCGGGGGCACTGCCTGGAGGGGATCGGGGACACGGTCGGGCTTGGATGGAAAGCGGGGGCACTGCCTGGAGGGGACCGGGGACCCGGTCGGGCTTGGATGGGAAGCGGGGGCACTGCCTGGAGGGGACCGGGGACCCGGTCGGGCTTGGATGGGAAGCTGGGGCACTGCCTGGAGGGGATCGGGGACACGGTCGGGCTTGGATGGAAAGCGGGGGCACTGCCTGGAGGGGACCGGGGACCCGGTCGGGCTTGGATGGAAAGCGGGGGCACTGCCTGGAGGGGACCGGGGACCCGGTCGGGCTTGGATGGAAAGCGGGGGCACTGCCTGGAGGGGACCGGGGACACGTCGGGCTTGGATGGGAAGCGGGGGCACTGCCTGGAGGGGACCGGGGACACGTCGGGCTTGGATGGGAAGCGGGGGCACTGCCTGGAGGGGACCGGGGACACGTCGGGCTTGGATGGAAAGCGGGGGCACTGCCTGGAGGGGACCGGGGACACGTCGGGCTTGGATGGGAAGCGGGGGCACTGCCTGGAGGGGACCGGGGACACGTCGGGCTTGGATGGGAAGCGGGGGCACTGCCTGGAGGGGACCGGGGACACGTCGGGCTTGGATGGAAAGCGGGGGCACTGCCTGGAGGGGACCGGGGACACGTCGGGCTTGGATGGAAAGCGGGGCAGCCGGGGAGTGAGGGGGCGGGCGGCTGTTGCGGAGCGAGCGTCCGCGTCCCTTCACCTCCGGGGCGGCCACGACGGGGCTCCGGCCACCCCGCGCCCGGCCCGCCGCCACGCTGGCCGTTCCTTACCCGCAGGTGCAGATCTGACACAGACACCAGCTCTTCATGTTCGGCAGGCTGCGGTCGCCCCGCCGGCCCTCGGCACCTGCAGCTTCGCGGGATCGCGGCGCCTGCGGTCGTCACGGCAACCCCGGGCGCCCGGGAGGCCGACGCAGCGCCGGCTTCCGGCGCGTCAGAGACGCGCGCGGGTCAGAGGTCGTGCGCCCGGCAGCCCCGCCCCCCGGCGCGCGCGCGTCAGGGAGCGCTGGGCAGTGGGCGCCTGCGACGCGTGCGGTGCGGCCCGGCGAGGGGCTGAGCGGGGCCGAGCGGGGCCGAGCGGGCCTGAGCTGGGCAGGCGGGGCGGCCCGGCCGGTGAGTGCGGGTCCGCTCCGGGCGGCGGCGGGGGCTCGGGTCGCCGGCGGGCCGGAGGAGCCGCGGCGAGCCCGGGCTGGGAGCGGCCGCCGCCCGGGCCGTCGGGTCCACCTGGGGGCCGCGCACCGCCGCCTGCGTCCTGGAGACGGCGAATGCGGGGCCCCGGGGAGGGGAAGGGGCTGCGCAGCGGGTGCTTTCCTTCCTCTGCAAAGCGCCGCAGTGCACCTGCCTGGTTGGGGAGCGTGTGAGCCGAAACACGGGAGAAACTTCATCCGCGGTGGGCGGTGGTGGAGCCGGGACTTTGGTCTGAGTGAGCGCGAGCGAGAATGCCGGCGCGAGGGGAGTGGGGAAGGACCGAGCAGCGGAAGGGAGAGGTGTCAGCGTCTTCCCTGCGTCCTGCAGACGGCCCTTCTTACGCGGGGACAGTTGCCCGGGAAGGCCTGTCCGGTGGCAGTTACTGGTGGTCCCGCCGCGGCGAGCTGCGGGAAGCCTCGCGGCCGTCCAGGCCCGGAGGGTGAGCGAGCTGCCTGATACCGGCGTGCTGCGGTGGCTGCCCCACTGCTCAGACTGGACTTGGGCCTGGGTGGGTGTGTCCCCTTCCGCAGACGTTCACTGGGTTCTTAGCTTAAGGGACCCGACAGGGCCTGTCAGCTCCCCGCGTTACAGGGGGAAAAATGTGAGGCCCTGATCTGCAGCGCGCGTGCCACGTGTGACACATGCCTAATTTTTAGTCGCAGGAAGGAAGGGACCATGGTGCTCAGTAGTTTGGATAAGATGATTCACCTGCAGAAGAACACTGCCAACATCAGGAACATCTGCGTTTTGGCTCACGTTGACCATGGTAAGAATCCTTTCTAAATGGGTTATTTTCAGTAATTAAGGGGGTGTGTCTCCACATTTGTCAGCAAAGCCAAGCTGTGGACAGTTGAGACTGATGCTTGCTAAGAAGCAAGTACGTCTTTAGAAGTTGAATGTTAGAGACGCTCACCATAAAGCATTTGAAATGAGCACGGCTACCTAGTGATTAGCATTCCTCTATATAGTGTATATCACTGTTTCCAATTTTATTATCTTTTTAAGATTTTATTGATTGATTTATTTATTTGAGAGAGAGCTCGAGCGAGCGAGTGCGGAGCAAGGGGAGGGGCAGAGGGAGAGAGGGAATCTCATGTAGACTCCCCACTGAGCGTGGATCGGGGTGACAGTGAGAAGCCCTTGGCCAGTACACGCTTTATTGTGAGGATGATCATTAATATTTATTATGAGGTAGTAGGGAGCCACTGGAGAGCAAAACAAAGCAGGGCTGTTGAAATCAGCACGTTAGAAAGGTTAGTCTGGTGGATGTGGTCATGTGCACTGAAAGGCAGGTGAGAGGTTAGTGAGGTGGCTGTTGCCACTGAGGTAGTAGCTGAGGGCAGTGGTGTGGGAACTGCGAGGAGGAGAAGTGGTAAATCGCTGTGTCGGTGAAGCCGGCTGAGAGGGAGTGGTATGTACAGATCCAGCACTGACCCTCTGCCCCCCTTGAGTTTTTATAACGACTGCTCACATTTTGAGGACATGAGGTTTTCAAAAGTATTTCTTCTTTTGCTTTGTGAATTAAATCACATGGTGTCTGGTCCTAGGGATGCAGCCCCAGTGCAGAAAGATAGTGCTTTCTGGGCACTTAACACTCCAGGGGGTACATGCTTGCTGTACTGATAATGAGTTCTACTCCACTGGATCGTAGGGAAGTGTCGCCCTAGGATTGAGCGGACGCACAAGATGTCCATGCCAAGCGGACAACACATTATTAAAGCTCTTCAGTGCTCCCATGATTGCTTTCTGGTTTGTACTATTACAGATTCCATGGCTTTGCTGCAGTTCCCAGAGTGTTCTAGGACTTGTTGGTCTTAAAGAAAAGACCCTCCTTTTGCTACTTGAGCCCAGCTGCAGTAACCATATAAGCAGCACTCTTTAAACAAAGTTATCTGCCACTTCAGATTGTGTAGACTTCATAAAACCTTGTATGAAACTGTGTGTACTTGAGTCTACAAAGACTTTTTTATTACATAGTAGCTCCCTAGCTTTATGTTTGGATTCTAGGTAACTTTGGGAGTAGCTGCAGTATAGCTGATGCCCTCACAGTAGGAGCTAAGGGTAGATTTCCTGAATTTCTTTGCTAAGTAAGCATTTTCTTAAGACAGTTTAACTGGCAAATACCAGCCAAGGCTGTACGTGAGGAAATATGGCAGAAGATTATATTCTGCTTTTTTGGTGGTGTTTTACCCAGTATGCCATTCAGAGACAAAAATGAGTGCTTTGCTATCTTTTTGTCATTCTAAGCTATCAAGAGTGTAAGCTAATAGCATGGTCACTATTATGGATATCAGATGATTAATAATTATGATGAACTAGGTCAAATTCTTGTAGAACAGATTTTACTAACTACGTATCGTTTATCAGATGTTCCGTCTTTTGATTGGCATGTTGGTTTATCTCATCACCTAGGAGTCTGCATTTGACTCTATACGTGATGCCTCTGTTTAAAAAAACAAAAAACAAAAAACAAAACAAAACTACCCTGGGGGGGAAAAAGTCACTTGACAACTTTTCGGGTGAGGGTGATGAGATCCCTCGGGGTGGAAATATAAATTACAGCACTTTGAGCAGTAGAGTCTGTGTCCTTCCAGATGATATTCTGTTCAGAAGTCTAAATGCTCATTAGGTCTTGCTTCACTCTGTATAGGTAAGTAGGAAATCTTTGCAAAACCAGTTCTCATAGTCAGAAGTTAACTCTGTTGGTGCGGTACATCTCCCTTCCTGTCTAGAAAAAAAATAGATTTGAATTAAAATTGTTATTTTAACAGGAAAAACTACTCTGACTGACTGTCTTCTGTCTAGCAATGGGGTCATCTCCAGCCGCCTGGCGGGTAAGGTAAGTTGTTCTATTTGATGAATACTTGTTGCCTTTCAGTAAGTATTAGCTGTCTACAATGTCATGTGTTCTTAGAGATCCTGAAAGAGTGTGAAGTACAGTTTATGTGTCTAAGAAGCTGCTTATCTAGTTAGCAAAATAAAATAGGTGTTGAGAAAAAGCTATTTTTACATTGCTTTATATGAATATGTTATAAATGCAAAAATGAGTTTTTGCAACAAGTCCAGTGATAGCCTGGCACAATTGTGGAACATTCCACAGAGGACGAGACTCTTCATGGGGATGAGTTATGTGGTTTGAAGAGAAGGTGGAGAAACCGTCAGGTGGGGGGATAAGATGGATAATGGGGATCAAGGTTAATTTGTGTGTTGTGCTTGATTTGAGTGGAACATTTGCCTAGAGACTACTGGGAGAGGAAAACGCGTTGGTGGAGAGAAGGTATTGGATTATAGAAGAACTTGAAGGCTAACTTTGAGTACCAAAGGAGGGCTTCCGAAGTCTTGAGTGTCATGATGGAAAACAGTGTTTTAGGAAATGAAGTTAAAGACATGTTTGTTTCCAGCTCTGAGTGAAAGGGTGTGGAATAAGTTACTGGCATTAGAGAAATGGAGATGTCCCTTCCCTTAATGAATTTAGGACATAATCAGAATTTGTCAGGTAACTGGGAACTGAGAGGAGAGGAGGTAGAGAAGCAGAAATGAATAGGAAAGTAGCTGTAGGAGACTGGTGTCAGACTCGGACATTGGAGGCAGGTGGCATGAGGACTGGCCTGAGGTGCCACGCAGAGGGACTGAGGAAACCAGACTGAGCGAGATAAGGAACCGCTTGTGTTTCCTCTACCTGAGGAGTTTGAAAAGTGCAATAGCCCTAAAGTAAGTAGATGGAAATAATAAAGCACATGTTAGCGAAGTAGAAAACAAATATTTTATAAAAAAGATCAATGAAGCTGAAGTCAGTTCTTGGAAAAGATTGTTATAAACAACACCTGTGATACAGTAAAGGTGGACACAGGTCATTACACATGTAAAGAGTGAGCCCTAACGTGAACTAGGGACTTCAGTTCATGAAGATGCGTTGATAGGGGTTCATTAAGTGTAATGTGTACCGTGCTTGCACTAACACAAGGTGTGAATAATAGGGAAACTGCGTGTGACTGTGTTGGGGGTGGTGTTTGAGAGCCTCTGTACTCACCCATCAGTTGTTCTTTGAACTTAAAATTTCTCTAGAAAGATAGTCTGTTAAAAAATATTAGCAATACAGACAATTTCTGGTCATCTTTTAACATGAGTGATAAATATCTAGCAAAATTGATCAAGAAGAAAGGCAAGGAGGAGAAGTGCAGCCTGCTAGGAAAGAAAGTGCTGCAGGGATGGGAAAGGTGGGAGTGGGACAAGATGGGCAGCAGCCCAGCAACAGGCTTAGAGATGGAGAGCTGGGACCCACCACGGTGGGGTCAGGAAGAAAGAGAAAATAGTCATTCCAGAAATGGAATTTGTTGGCAGAAATCTTTCCACAAGTTCCAGATGGTTTAACTCTCTCGTTCTAGCACACATTCAGGGAACAGATGTTCTCAGTTTTGCTCATCCATTCCAGAACACAGCGGGGAGGAAGCAGGGAGTACTCTCCAGCCCCCCACCTTGATTCCCGAAGTGGGCGAGAGTAATAATACAGGATGGGACAATCCCATAACAGCCATGTGATGGGAGATGCAAAAGTTATAGCCATTATTAAGAAGCAGAATCTGGAATTGTATAAAGCGCTAGTTTTTCATAGCTAAATAGAGTTTATCACAAAGAATTTAAGATTGGTTCAATATGTCATTTCACCATGTTAACAGATTAAAGGTAGGAATGTCATGATCATTTCAGTAGATGCAGAAAACAGAATTCAGCCTCCTTTTTGTTAAAACCTCTTAGCGAAGTAGACGTAGAAGGGAATTTCTGCACTGTGATATGGAGTATTTGCAAAAAATCCTGCCCCCTTAATGATGCATGGTTGACATTTTTGCATTTATATTCAGGAATAAGGCAAGGGCAGCTCCTTCCCCCTTCTGCTCATTGTGTTCCCCGCTTCTGTTGTCACTGCCCTGGAGGTTCTGCCGCAACCATAAAGCGAAAAAGAAAAATAGGAGTTTCAGAAAGGGTGGTATGACTTTGTAGAAAACGCAGAAGAGTATACAGATAAATTGTTAGGATATTAATAAGAATTTAGCAGCCTTCAGGATACAAAAGTCATTGAAAAGAGTATACATGAACAATAAGCAGAAAATATAGCACTTACATAGCATAAAAAATGTCCCTGTGAGATATTGGGGAAAACGTAAATACATGGAGAGCTAGACCATGCTCACAGATTGCTGGACTCAGTATTTTTAAAATGACAGTTTTCTTTCATGTTGACCTGTAAGCAGTTCTTGTAAAAAATTTCAAGTTTTTTAAAATTTGAATTTGATATGCTGATTCTAAAACCATGCAGAACAAAGGGCCAGTAATGACTTGTCTGTAAAGACATGTCTGAAGAAGAGTAGGTTGTGCAATGTGTCTTACCGGATAGCAGGACTTACTATGAATCTACGATAGCTTGTGGTTTGCAGTTGGCTGAGGGATAAAATTGACCGGTGGCCCAGAATAGCAGGCCTAGAAACAGGGATCCTGATTTATCACAGAGGTGGCATTTCTGATCTGTAGGGAAAAGATGAGCCTCTCTATGCGTTGTCCTCGGACAGTTGGTTATCTATGTGGAAAATAAATAAAATTGGGCCTCTACCCAACACAGCACACAAAAATCAGTAGCATGTAATTAAAATACTTATATGTGAGAGGCACAATTATAAAATTTGTAGAAAATAATACAGGACGATACTTTTATGACCTTAAGAGAAGATTTCTTATATAAAACAAAGAAGTACATACAATTATGTAAGTTTAATCAACTCAACTACATTAAAACTAAGAACATCTATTTTTCAGGAGACACCATAAAGAAAGTTAAAAGACAAACCTGGTAACTGGGGGAAATAATGACACATAATGGACTAAGGTCTAATATTCAGCGATTATAAATAACTCTTATCCAAAACAGAATAAATCTATAACACAACCATTAAAAAGATGGACAAACATCTTGAACAAGAAACTCAGGGTACGGGGTGCCTGGGTGGCTCAGTTGGTTAAGCGACTGCCTTCAGCTCAGGTCATGATCCTGGAGTCCCAGGATCGCGTCCCACATCGGGCTCCCTGCTCAGCAGGGAGTCTGCTTCTTCCTCTGACCCTCCTCCCTCTCATGCTCTCTATCTCTCATTCTTTCTCTCTCAAATAAATAAATAAAAAATCTTAAAAAAAAAAAAAAACACCTCAGGGTAAACTCATAGAAGGTTACTCAACCCCACTGATAATTGGAGAGATGTAAATTAGAAAAGTATTATCATCCATCTGATTTGAAAAATAGCCTGACCACTTCAGGTGTTGCTGAGGTCTGGCAGGAGAGGCTCTGATTCACTCTTTAAAGTGTGGAACAGTTCAGTCTCTTCAGAAAACAATGTGGAAATAGCTAGTAATGTTGAAGATGTGCGCATTTAATATCCCAGAAATTCCACTTCTAGGTAGTCTGCCAAGAGACAGACATTCATCTGTTAATGATAGCTCAATGATAGTTTAAAAAACTAAAATCCATCCACCTGTCCCATCACAAACAGCATGGATGAATAAGGTGTGGTGGCTTTGTGTAGTGGAATCCTACAGTAATGGAAATGAGTGAATGATGACTATGTCTGCCCATCAATATGGACAAATCTCAGGAATATGATATTGAGCAGAGACAAAGTGACGGTACCATACATGTATGTGTGTGCATATGTATGTATGTAGAGTATGATTCCATTGGTATAGGGCCTAAAACCTGCAACTCTAAATGATATATTGCTTAGTGGTACACTCATTTTTAAAACTTATAAAGAAAGCAAGTGAATGAACAAGGTAAAATTTAGGATAGCAGTTACCTCTGAGCCAGGGCCACAGGAGGACGTCAAAAGTAACATAAATCTTTTTCTTTCTTAAATAGGATGGCACACACACAGGTGTTCACTGTATTATTCTTTTTGCTATATATATGTTTTGTATCAACTCAGTGCTTAAAAACACGTGTAGAAGAATGACCAGGGACGAAGACTTTGGAGGAAGGCCTCAGAGGTCAAAGAGGTGAAGGGGAACCAGCAGTACCATCTCAGGAGAGCTAGGAAGGGAGCTAGGAGATTGCGGACTCCTGGAAGAATCTCACAAGTGCGTGTGTCCACACCCGCACACAAGGGTCAGGAGCTATGTCTGTCTGATGCCACACTGAAATCAGGAAGACGGAAGGTTAGAAAGGATGATTGTGTTTGGCCAGAGGTCACTGTAGCTTTTAGGAGTTTGGTTTTGCCAGAGCTGCGGGAATGGAAGGCTGTCAGCAGATTAAGTTGATGCGGGATGAGTCAATGTGGCAGTCCCATGTCAATAAGTTATTCCTGAAACATTTGAGTGAAAGAAGTGAGTCAATGTAAAGGTGAAGAATTTTTCAAAGGAGACAAAGTGGAGAGAGGTACGGCAGGGCAAGCGACGGCGGTCCTGGAGAGGAGGGAAGGAAGTTAGTGAGGCGCGCAGGCCCGGGGGGGTGCAGAGGAGTGGTGGCTCAGTCAGTGTTGATGTGCTGCGGAGCCCAGAGATTGAGGTGTGGGCCCTTGTTTGTGGCATTAACACTGATGAAAGCCGTCAGCTAACTGGTCACGTTAGAAATATTTTCCACCATACCATTCTTTTTTTTAAAAAACGTGTGTAAAATCTGCTGATTTGCGGAAAGGAGTGAAGGCTCCTCATGATTCTAGGCACCTGTTTCAATCTTTGCTGGGACTTTGTCAAACAGCCTAGGAGTAGGGAAAGACAGGCTCTGTTCTGGATGTGCAGAAGGGATTCCTCCGCACGCTACTTTCTGTGACTTGTTCACGGAGTACCCAGTCATTCACGGCCCACATGTGAGTGAGCAGCACTCTGAGAGGGTGTGCGGTATTGGAATACGTTCAGAAAGTTCTCCAGACCTTCCCCACTTGTAACAAATACAGAGGGCTTTTAGTTTAAAAATTATGTGTTTAAAGCAAAAGTCCAACTCAGTCCATTTTAATGTTGACATTTTAATTCATTGGGAAGTAAGGATGCTTTTGTTGCATTTTTACAGTTAAGGTACATGGACAGCAGAGAAGATGAACAGGTTCGAGGGATCACTATGAAATCCAGTGCCATTTCACTACATTATGCAAAAGGTAAATCTGTGTTTTAAAGAAAAATAGTTTTGTATCTTCAGTGTCCTTCTTTCTCTTTCTGAATTAATTGTCTGCCTCAGTTTCTTTGCTTTATATTCCACACATTTCATTCTGGCCTCCAGATGATCTGTTGTCAGAGACAGGCTGTCCAGACTTGGATGCAGATGGGGACCTCTGACTGGCTTGAGGGCAGAAGAACAGGCAGTTCACACCTGCCTACCATCCACCCAGGCGATTGTATGGATTTCTTCACAAGGATGGTCAAGAGTCTCAGGACTTTGCTGGCTCAGCCTTAGTGTTCCAATTCCTGGCTGGATCCTTATTCTGTCCTAAGGCCCCAATGTTGGATTTAGCATCTTTCTTAATTGGGTTGCCATGATCATTACAGCTTGCTTTCCCCAAATCAGGATGTCATTTTCATGGTAATACTTACAGGAATTTACGTGACAGAAATAGTATTACAAGTATGTGAGATATATATTCAGTGATGTTCACCAAAAAGTTTGTATTAGTTAAAAAAATGCCAACAACCTTTATGTCTGTCTTTGGAAAATGGTCAAGTACACTGATACTTCCTTCCCGTGATAAGCATACGAACACCTGTTGGATCTCTATGTGATAATATAGGAAAAATACGTTGAGGCAAAAAGCAAGTCGCAGAATAAATACTTGCACGGTAAGAGTGTGTTTTGGTAATAAAATATTACGTGTGTAGACAGATGTCTGGAAGGATGCACACTAAAACCTTAACACCAGTTATCTCCAGGGGCTGAGTTATGTGAAACTTACATTTTCTAAAATATTTATTTTTGTACTCTTTGGAAACTTTACACAAAATGTGCCTTTTTATAATTAGAAGAAAATAATAGAGATGTATTTCATTTCCCTACGCGACTGATCTGTGGCTCATCTTTCCCAGTGCCCTGTGTCCGGCCCTGGCACCAGGGGGCCTTCTGCCTGAGGCACAGCTCTATTCTCTTTGACGTCAGTCTGCAAAATATTTTTGTACTAGGGGCGCCTGGGTGGCTCAGTTGGTTAAGCGACTGCCTTCAGCTCAGGTCATGATCCCAGGGTCCTGGGATCGAGTCCCGCATCGGGTTCCCTGCTCTGCGGGGAGCCTGCTTCTCCCTCTCCCACTCCCCCTGCTTGTGTTCCCTCTCTTGCTGTGTCTCTCTCGGTCAAATAAATAAAATCTTTAAAAAAAAAAATATATATATATATTTTTGTACTAAACCAATTTTGAAGCTCTTAGGTATTCTCAGTGAATTCCTAATGTTTCATATTTAAAGTAATGCCTTATCTTTTTAAAACTACCTCTCATTTTAAAGGGTATGTCCTCGTGTGGCATGGGTCAGTTTATTTACCATCTCCCCTTATTTTTTATAGACTTCAAGAGATTTGTGCCTTCCTCTCCACACTCGTTAGTCTGTTTTTATTTGACGATTCCTCTAGATGTCAGTTTTAGTTGTTGCCTCTGAATTTGGTCTCCAGTTCTGCCATCCCCTTTTTAACCATTTTATTAAGGTTTACTTTATATCACATAACACCCATTCCAATTCACTTGTCTCCCTGGCATGGTGGTGTAGTAGAATGGCTATAGGACCCTGGGGGGTTGAATGGTCTAACCTCTGCTTTGTTGACCCCTGACCTTGGGCATCTTGCACTCATTGTTTTAGATACGCTTTCTTGACTGCACAGAACCAAGACTTTAGCTCGCTTGTGCTGGGGTGGGATGGCTTATTGAAAGATAATGAGTATCACGATATTGGAGACAGTATTCATGAAAACCAAAAAAACAGCAACATCGAGTGACATCTCATAGAAATTGGAGCCGGATGTTGATTCTGGACCCAAGGTGGCCCTAGAGACCATTAGTACAAGTTAATGGATCTTTCTGGAACTCCACTTTTATCATCCCTGGGTCTCATTCTCTGTCTTTGCCTCTGTTACCCTGTAAGTCTTTTCTCTCTTTCGTAGCTTTTGCTTACTCTTAGTGTCCCCATCTTCATAAACTCACTTTGCCCTGACCTCTCATCTCAACTTCTGTTTTTTCCACCCTATTTCCATTGCTTACTGCTGCTTTGTCTTGTGTTTCTAATCACACATTCTCAGGAGCAAGATGTGGCCTAGCTTATCTTTTTATGCTGGGCCCTGGCAGAGGTTGCACCTATGGATTGGCCACCCTTGGGTTGGACGGTCACCTCCTAGTGTGTTGAGTGGTGATTGGAGTGGAGTCATAGAGGATCAAATGTGTCTCTTTGTGAGCATAGAGGGGGCTTGGGCGTAGCCAGTTGCTACACCTGACGATTGGTGCAGAGTCTTCTTTTCCCTACGTACAAAATGGGGATAGAAGTTGGAGGTGTTGAGTGAGGACATGCTGTCCGAACGCCTCCAAGATAAGACAACATTCTTATCTATATCTCAGCACTGACTCGGCAAGAGGGTATTCCTGCTGTGAAGGTGGGACGGTCTGAAGGGGACCCCCTCCGGGAGAAGGGAAACCTGTTGGTTGAAGAAACTCCACAGGTGATTTTTATCTCCCCGTGTCTTCCCCTCCTTCCTGCCCCCTTCCAAATAACCTCTTCGTTAAGAATCTCTGCACTCAATGTTAATTTAGTCTGTTCTGGTTCTGACTCTTGATTTAACTGGCTTTCAAAAATTTTTTCAAATCCTTATTTGGATTAAAAGGGAGGGCATTTTCCTCGTTTAAAGTAAACATGCTTACAAAACCCAGGTATGGTATTGAAATGGTGTGGAGAACCCAGTTATGTTGTAGAAGGTGATACTTCGCATTTTCCAGGGACCTGGTTCTTCCTTGAGAAAATGGAGCCTCTCATCTTTACATTTGTGACCCAAATTTGCTACAAATGTTGGGACCATATTGTTAAACCTTGTTATTTCCCTGTTTCTTACCTCTCTTTGTCCTTCCCACAGGGATACCATCCATTTATCTAGTCATTTCAAGAGTTAGGAAATACTATACATTGTACATTCTATAAAAAAAATCCTCAGGGTATGTAATTCCTTTGAATCCTTTAGCCCAGAATTCAGATCAAGATGAGAGAAATGTCTTTAAATGGGTCAAAGAATTTGAAATTCATAGAGCATTCTTCGAATAGTCTCGGCATATTGCTGCCATTTCTGCTGTGTAGCCAATCTTTATACCTGTGAATGAATATTACTTTTGCAGAACTTCTGAAATGTTCATTCTAATTCATCTTTTTAAAAATTCTAAATACATTTACAAATTTGTATGTGTTGTAGAAAATTCAACATATTATAGAATATGCAGTAAAACACAAGAATGAAATAAGAATCACCCCTAGTTTTACCACATTATGTTTTCAGTTTTTGCATCTAATCCAGCCATAATTTTACGTGTGTGCGTGCGCATGCACACGAGCTGTGAGGTAAGTGTCTAACTGAATTTTCCCCCAGATCATTAACTACTTCTTTTTTTTTTTTTTTTTAAAGATTTTATTTATTTATTTGAGAGAGAGAATGAGATAGAGAGAGAGAGCATGAGAGGGGGGAGGGTCAGAGGGCGAAGCAGGCTCCCCGCCGAGCAGGGAGCCCGATGTGGGACTCGATCCCGGGACTCCAGGATCATGACCTGAGCCGAAGGCAGTCGCTTAACCACCTGAGCCACCCAGGCGCCCTCATTAACTACTTCTTACAGCACCAGTCATATGTGACTATTAAATCGTATATTATTAGTTCTTGACATGATGTTGGTATCGATAACCTCTACCTGAGCAAGGCAGGCAGAAAGTGAATTAATTGTACCCACCCCTGAAGTACCCCCCTAAGACCCCCAGGTGGGGGCAGATGCCGTTCTGCTCCAACGGACTGATGCTCTGTGGGAATCTGCTTTTTCAAGAAGAGTTGGCATTGAGCTTTTGATAAAATCTTCCAATTTTTAAGCTATTGGCAGCTTCTTTACAAATTTGTGAACCCCCCCCCCACCCATGGAAAAATTGTGGCGGGCTTTAACTTAGAGGCTTCCGGTTTGTAATGTGAGGCTCCCAGGCCAGCTAACAGCCTGGTTCAGGGAGACACTCCGCGTTCATTCACGAGGCAACTGCGTGTTGCTTGGAGGCCAAGGACAGGCTCTCTGCAGGCTCTCTGGTCTTAATCTGCAAAGACGGGGCCAGTGGGAGACCGAGTCGTGCCACCCACATTCACACCAGGCCAGCATGTGCCGGAAAGCCTTTCTTACTGAGATGCAGTAGCTTCCTTTTCCTTCTGGAAGTGTGAACAGTAACCCATGGTCCCAATTATTGTCCTACTTATAGGACTAAGGCTAGGAGTCGGGGGGGGGGTGGTTCCATCGTCTGTCCCTTGTTTGACTGAAGGTCAGACTTCTTTCTCTTAAGATAATGTATTCTGTGAAGCATTCTGTTGATGCTGGATGTAAGAAAATGGGTGCATGATGGTTTCATTCTAAGCCGAGTGCCTCATATACATGATTTCATGGGTATTCTTCACAGCAACACTGTGAGATGGATACTACCCTCATTTTACATACATACAGAGTGGAGTTCAGGGAGTTTCAGAAACTTTCCCAAGGAGAGAGGGGTTAGCAAGCGGCAGTGGTCCTGGGAACCAGATGATTCCGTTTCCAGCTTGTTCACTTGGACCAGGAGTCTCTTGGAGGTCGGTCAGTCCAGACCATGGCTGATGGCTCCTGAAGTGTGCCTCTCCTGTCCACGAGGGATTGCTGGGGCTGCTTAGAGACGTCTTACAGCCAGCATTGCCTGCATCCCTGCTGTCCTTGGTCACCGCCCAGGTTGGGAGCCTCCCTACCCGTCTCTTCCCCATGTTCCTCTGTGATGTTAACACCCCTCCCTCAACCTCCTGCTATTCCCTTCCTTCCCAAAACGTACTTTGCAAAGGTTCCAAGGTAAACAAGCATCTCTCCATCCTCAACGTCTTTTTGTTGATGTTCTCTCCTCCGCTGCCGGCCTGGCTGTTTTCCCAGGACACTGCTCTCCTTGGAC